ATCCAACGACCCAGCTCCAATCTTCAACAACTCCAACGGGACAACCTGCGCAAGGAACAAGAAACATCGTTAGCTGCATGGCAAGACTGAACGATTCTTGCATCACAGAATCACCACCGTACTACTCACCAGAAGAGCAACTCGACGAAACGACACCACGCCGCGAGTCACTTCAGCCGAACCCGACATACGCTGCCATAGCCCAAAACGAGCCATCCGGGAAGGACACGTGGTTCTTGGACAGTTGCTGCGGACAACACATGTGCTCCTCAGGACGCTTCGTACAACGAGAATACCAGCTTCAACGAGAGGTGGTCATCACCGTCGCCAACAATCAGAACCTGCGCACACGACGACAAGGAGTTGTTCAACTTCAGTCACGAGAAACGAACGTCATTCTACAGATGTCCAAGGTTTTAATTGCAGAAGGCCTCGGCTACAACTTACTCAGCGTCAGTCAACTGATGGCGAAAGGCATTCACCTTGAAGCAGACAGCACAACCCAGGAATTCAAGCTGTACCACGGGAGAGGAGGTCTCTACATCGGCAAGGCGGTTCTCAAGAACAACGTCTTCGTTCTTGACTTCGTCCCCGATCTCGGAACGGCCGACAGCGACGCCATCGTCAACTTCACTGACTGGACACATCCTCCAGATCTTGATCCAGACTTCAGCCCGAGCGGCTTCTGGTACTCACACACCATCCCTGAAACAGAAAGAACAAGGGCGCTGGCGACAATTCAGCAGTCGGCAGCAGCAGAGACAACATCGGCAGCAGCAGAGACAACATCAGCAGCAGCGGAGACAACATCGGCAGCAGCAGAGACAACATTGGCAGCAGCAGAGACAACATCGACAGCAGCAGAAACAACATCGACAGCAGCACAGACAAAAGCAGCAGCAGCAGAAACATCAACACCAGTCGCCGGTCCCTCAACGGCACAGCCCTCCATCGACGAGACGCCGCCAACACCGGCGCAGCAGCTCAACCCGGCACCACGGGAAGTTCACAGAAGCGCGAACATCATCGCCGGCTTCTACTCCAACTCCGACATGTACCGACGCTCGCCAGGACACCGCGCCAACGAAGAAACCTGGCACGCAAGAATGGGACACCCAAGCAACACAGCATTAAACAACACGATAAGAGCTGGAGTACTTGACAAGGATTCACTCTTACTGATCGACGGCAGAGAACTTCAGCGAGCCCGAGGAACGTGCTTCACCTGCCCCGAAGCTGACTTACCGCATCAGCCCTTCGTCTCGCATCACAACCCAAGCGCACCTGCATATTCACCACTCGAGAAAGTGTACAGCGACATCTTGTACAACCGCGAACCCGGACAAAACGCGTATAACTACACCATCACCTTCATCGACGCCGCTACACGTTACGTCTGGCACCTAAACTTACCAAGTCGCGACATGGCTTTCGAGGCTTTCGTGGCATGGCTTCCAGCAGCAGAACGGGAATCAGGAGCTAAGCTCAAAAGTTTTCAATCAGACGGAGGAGGAGAATACTCGTCACAGCGGTTCAAGCAGTATCTGGCGGAGAAGGGAATCAAGAGACTCATCTCCCTTCCCTACGCCCATCAACAGCAGGGTGTAGCAGAAAGGATGAACAGGACTCTGCAGAACACCATGCGCAAACTGTTACGTGGCATGCGGCTACCCAACCACCAGTGGCCCGAAGCAATGGACCACGCCGTGATGCTGCACAACTTGCTTTCCTCGTCGTCACTCCCGAACAACGCATCACCGCATCTGCTGTGGACAGGGAAACTGGGCAGCACAAAAATGTTACGAGTCTTCGGCTGCATGGTACAGTACCGACCCCCATCTGCACGAGCCGGCCGATTCTCCCAACGCGCACAGTGGGGACTACACCTGGGCATCGAAAAACATTACAACGCGTGGAAAATCTTCGACATCCACACCAAGGAAACAGTAGCAGCACGTGATGTCATTTTCTACGAGCGGCTCACACTGCCAACATACCTTGCCAACCTGGACGAAAATCGAGACCCCACAGGTGGCTTCCGTGGCGATCGAGCCTTCGCTTCGGCAGGAGACGAAGCTGACTGGGACGAGCAGAACGTGGAAGGAGCCTCGGAAGAAGCCGGACCTCTCCCCTACTGCTCAGTGGACGTACCGATGGACGAAGATAACCCTCGCGAAAGCGTCAACGCCGAAACCTACTACCACTTCGCCGACAACGGTTACGTTACACCTGCTGAAGTCAACACCAACGAAGCAGAACGCATAGGGCCCAACTTCGCACCTGATCCAGAAGCTGGAGACGAGGCAGTCTATCCCGAGGACACCACACTCCCCCGCTACACACAGAGTGGACTCCAGATACTCGGGCTCGTCACCGCAGTCCACGGCGCCGCCATTCCTAAGGAGCCTGCAACGTTTCAGCAGGCTCTGGGGGGGGAGCACAGGGAAAAATGGCGTGAAGCCATGGACAAGGAGCTGAAAGCGCTAGAAGAACGCAACACTTTGAAAATCGTTCCTATCGGCGTAGCACGAAACAAGACCATTCTCACCGGAAAATGGGTCTTCCGCGTGAAGACGAAAGCAGATGGCACCATCGACAAATTCAAGGCGCGCTGGGTCGTACGCGGCTTCGACCAAGAACACGGACGCGACTTCACCGAAACCTTTGCTCCGGTCAGCCGACACACCTCACTACGCATTCTCCTCGCGATCGCCGCCATGAAGAAGAAAAAGCTACGACAAATCGATGTCGCAAACGCCTTTCTCTACGCACCTGTTGATGCAGAGATCTTCGTGGAGCTACCACACGGCTCCAGCACGGACTCCACACACGTCTGTCAACTACTCAAATCGCTCTACGGCATCAAACAAGCCCCACGACTGTGGCAACAGTACCTGCACGCCCGACTCGTTCGCATCGGCTTCAAGCAGCTACCGCACGATCAGGGAATGTATCGGCTCACGAAGGGTACAGACTACATCCTCCTAATCGTCTACGTAGACGATTTACTCTACATCGGCTCGACTGACAACGTCACCTCCTGGTTCGAAGGGGAACTGCAGAAGGACCTCACTCTCACAGTCTCACCTACCGTCACACAGTACCTCGGCCTAAACATCCGAGAAGAAGAAGACGCGATCTACCTCAACGCCGCGAAATATGCCGACACCATCGCCAAACGCTTCGCTCTCACACCAACCGCCATCTCCACGCCCTACCGCTACACAACAGGAAACAGCACGGGAAACCCCGCTCTACTCAAGCCCGCCGGAATACGTGACTACCAGAGAAAGCTAGGGTGTCTCCTCTTCGCAGCCGTCACCTGCCGTCCTGACCTATCGTACTCTGCAAGCCAGCTCGCCACCCACCTCAAGAAACCTGAAGCAGAACATCTAGCAGAACTCGATCGCGCTCTTAACTACCTCGTCAGCACCCCGAAGATCGGGTTAACGTATCACAAAAACGCAACCGCACCAACTAAACTTATCGGCTACGTCGACGCCGATCACGCCGGCGACTCCGACAACAGACGCTCACGCACCGGCTACATCTATCGTCTCGAACCCATCGGTCCTATCTCCTGGCAATCGAGTAAGCAGGAATTAATTGCCCTCTCATCGGCCGAAGCAGAATATATAGCACTCTGCTCAGCCACCAAGGAAGGCCTTTACCTTCGCGAGCTGCTGGAAGAAGCGAAGTTAGCCGAGTTACCCAACTTCACACTGTTCTGCGACAACCAGTCGGCAATCCGCATTGCCAACAAGAACGGCTTCGCGAACAGGACGAAACACATCGCCCTGCGCTATTTCTTCGTGAAAGACGAGATCGAGAAAGGGAGACTCGAACTGTCATACTGTCCCACGTCCGAGATGGCAGCCGACTATTTGACCAAGAAGCTCGGGAAGCAGAAATTCGAGTACTGCATGTTGCTGACAAGACAAAGCCACGTCATCAAGAGCGACACTCCAGAAGCGAAGGGGAGTGTTGGAAACAATAAATTGTAAACGCCTCTGTCGTGTCGAAACACCACACCAGAAGCGAAGCACGCCACATCGAAGCACCCGCGAGTCAACCCTCGGAGGTTAAAAGAGGTTGCTGGAGGTTACGCGAAAGTCAAAGGTCAAGCGACCTTTGACCTGACAAGTGCAGCGCGACAGCAAGGACACACAACTGACTCGTTACAGAGCAGTTGCCCGAGTCGTCACCATATCGAACCGCAACAGCAAAAGTAGTTACAACTATATCCTTTCGTATTCCTTGTAATCTTCTATATATTCTTGTATCCCTTTGCTATAATCAACTTACTTTGCCCTCACATACCAGCGCAAGGTGGTTCACAAATTCTCCACTAATACGCTTCCGCTATTACATAGTCCTACCGGAGTTTTACCCCCGCAAAGATCCTAAGGGCTTTTCTCAGCCCAACAGGCTTGGTTGTCCGATGTTAGTATTCTCTGCACAGCATGCATGAGGTGCTTGTTGCTGGGCTCCCTGCGTTTGGAGGTACTGTATTGGGTGTGCAACTGTGTTTCAATAGGCTAGTGCAGTGGACGAGAAGAGGCTTGGATGAATGCTTTGTTGCATGAACAACAACTTGAAATGCTGTAGGGGGTCACTAAGTTGGGTGCTGAAATATGATGGATACTGAGTACCGCACATTACAATTTGAATGAATCAATTGCAACCATATTCCGTTTGCATCTCAAATGGGTGAGCAACAAAACTGGGAACAACACACGGCAGAAACGTGCTGCCACTTATCCAACAGCCCTCCTGTGCATTTCAAATCAAGAGGAGGACTCGTCCAGTTCTCTCCCAATCCACCTTTGTCAGTCTGCTTCCATCCTAGCCCTGTCTGTACGAAGACAAGTCGTAATAAAAAAGCAGAGGGCAAGCCAAGCCCTTGCACAGCCAGGCAGCTTCTAAGGCGCCCTGATAGATGACGACTGAAAGGCGTCTTCGAAGGGGATTCAAAACTCCCGGTCTCCCACACGACATGATCAAAAGACGGAGGGAAAGCCCTTCTGCTGCCACGCTGCAAAGCCCCCGAGCATGTCAGTGATTCCTGAGAAGCCCTGTGGGTTTGCCAGCCACAGGGAGCAGCGTGGGGAGGAGTAGGTGGTGGGAGAGGTGGGAAGGGGCGTGTGGAAGATGGGAGTGATCGAGGGTTGAAAGGCGGGAAGCTTGAAGGGTAGCGGAATAATTGGATTTTGGATAGAGCGTATTTGGGCCTTTTGCAAGTTAGTCTCTATACAAGATGCATGCGTGTGCATGTGTTTGCAGGGTAAGTCAACAGAAGAGGTTTGAATGCGGAGGTGGATGGAAGGGGTGGATGGACGGGGTGGAGGGTCTCACAGCATTCTGAAGCTCTGCAGCAGCCCGGATGGATCGCACCCCTCCCTGACACGCCTGCTCACATCACAGCACATGGCATCAGATGGGGCAGCACAGCGCAGCACAGCACAGCACAGCACAGCACACATCATGGACGAAAAGTGAGGCACACATTCGGGTCCCCTGAAATTGAATTGGGAATGGAAAGGGTAGGTACCGAGGCATGCATGAGAGCAAGCATTGCTGCATGCAGTGTTGAAGGTACAACGGACATGATTAGAGAGGTTAGGAGTGAAGAGTGCAATGAAGGGTGTTCGCAGATAAGGAGAGGAGGAGACGAGGGCGGGGTGTTAGGGTTGGTGGGGTTGAGTCTTCATATGATTGCTGTGCAGGCAAGTGGAGAGGTGCATTGCATGGCATGGCAGGATATTGTAGTGTGGTGTGGTGTGGTGTGGTGTGGTACAGTACGGTACGGTACGGTACGGTAGAGTATGGCATGCCATGGCATGGCTTGGCATGGCATGGTATGGAATGGCATGCTCTGGTGTGGTGTAGTGTGGTATGCTATGCTATGGCTTGGCATGGTGTACGTTCATAATATTGCATGTAATGGCATGGCATGGCATGGCATGGCATGGCATGGCATGGCATGGCAGTTACCACAACGAGTGGAGTGTCCTCCTCGAACTTTGCCTTGACGTCAGCGACGAAGGCATCGTTCTTCACCATGCCTGCACACGCTCATGGGGTGATGGAGGTGGAGATATGGCATGGAGGTGGAGATATGGCATGGAGGTGGAGATATGGCATGGAGGTGGAGATATGGCATGGAGGTGGAGATATGGCATGGAGGTGGAGATATGGCATGGAGGTGGAGATATGGCATGGAGGTGGAGATATGGCATGGAGGTGGAGATATGGCATGGAGGTGGAGATATGGCATGGAGGTGGAGATATTGCATGGAGGTGGAGATATGGCATGGAGGTGGAGATATTGCATGGAGGTAGACATAAGGCATGGCGATAGGTGGGACTGGTAGTTGAAAAACGACCGGATTTGGGTCTCACATCTCAGAATTCAAAGACACGAGATGGATGGATGGATGGATGGATGAATGAGTGAATGGAGGCACAGCGGCATGGCATGCAGAGCAGAAAAACAGAGAGACGGACCCGCGGGCGACTTGAGCATGAAGGGGATGTTCACTGCTCCCTGCACATGTGCTGCCCGGAACTCCTCTGGCGTTCTGATGGATGGACGCGGTAGGGCACGGCATAACAAGGGATGGCTTAACATACCGTGGCATGGCGAGGGATGGCATGGCATGGCATACAAAGTCCAGAGAAGAGCTGATCCTTTTAGCATAATACATCCCCGATTCCCAGACTCTTGCGCCCCCGGCGGCTCTCAGGATCAAGGATTGGCACTTGGAGAGTCCGAGTTGAGGATTGGGGATGCAGGATTAAGACTTGGGAGTTCTGCATTCAGCAGCCAGGAGCCAGATTCCGAAGGACGATTGCTCTTCTTCCTCTGTTTCTCACGAGCAGCTCTCGCACGCACAGGCATCACACGCGCAAGCATCACGCGCGCAAGCATCACGCGCGCAAAGCATCACGCGCGCAAGCACGAGTCTCACCGCACGTCCAGGTACGTGTGGCCCGCCGCCACCAGCTCGCGCGCCTCGTCCACCGACACGCTCGTGACAGCTGGCGCGCCGTCATTGGCGGCGCGGGCAATGCCAGCACTGTTCCTGACGAGGGGAAAAAACAAGGCGGAGAAAACGGAGCAGGGAGGAAGGTGACCGGGAATGAGATTAACTGGTTTATACAGCGACACTTTCGAAATCCAACTGGTCAAGCACGAGAGGTGCCCGCACGGCCGCGATGCGACTTCCAAAATCTCCCTCGCTGGCCCCTCCGAGTCGACTCAAAGTTGATTACGCGAGAGTAACAAGGGTCGGCGCTGCATTGCTACCTTCGAAGAGGCTGGCCACGAGCGGACGGACGAGCCGCGACTAGGGTGGCGTGACGCGCGGCCGCGAATTGCGGCGGAGTGCTCAATGGAGCACGAGCGATGGCGAGTGAAGCGAGCGGGGCGCATGCGAGTTGAAGGGCGAGTGAAGACGCCATTGCGGGTGGGATAGAGTGTGGGGAGGGAAGCGGCAATGGCGGCGCAAGGAATCAGAGACGTGTAGCTGTGACGGGCAGAGACAAATAGCATCGACGTCCACTAACGAGAACGAACTCAGGATTTGACTCCAGAAACTTCGTCGTATCGTTACCAATATTAAGGGCGCGGAACATTTGAATTTTTACAATTTTTCCCGTACGGATGTCCCCAGTTGCGTACCGTCGTCCGGTTTGGTCCCAACCGGACGACGGTTCGGACCCTACCTCGTCCAAAGCTGAAGTTGGAACATTTGATTGGGTTTTCAATTTGCGTTTCCGAACGTCGCCACCGACAACTGGCCACGTCGCATTCAGGTTTGACCTTATTGCATGCGACGTGTTGGCGATGTCGTCTGGCACACAGGATGCCCCAAATGCAGTCGCGCGATGACTGTACATCTGAGGTCCGAACGGGGCAGAACAGCGCGTTCGAAACCGTTGTCAGAGTGAGCAAACAGTCAGATGTTCCAACAGTCGTCCGAATCCTTGCGACGTCGCAAACCCATTGACGAACCTACCACGAAAACTGACGAATTGGGAAACCACACCGAGATTCGAACGATGCTCTGGTACGAACGTGTCAATTTTCAAATGTTCCGCGCCCTACCACTTACTATACATAAATGATAAATGATAAAATTTAGAATTCTTAGATACAAAAGGATAAGGATAAGGATAAATTTAGAATTCTTCTATACCACTCACTTCACCACTCCTCACAGTTCCCAGGCTTGACCGTACTTTGCGCGTTACCGGTTAACGGTCTTGGCCACTTTAGCCTCTACTTTTGCGAAACCACACACACTATGCAAGGCCGTATCGGCCTATACTTCTGGAATAGGCAAAACCTTGGCCTGCACGTCGTGCCAAAATTATTATTTATATCAAAATAAATACTTCATAACCTAGTGAAGTTATATGATTACACTTGTTAGTGGTGCACCCTTGCCTTGCCATTGCTTGTTTGCATTTTACTTTCTTCAGTGTACCTCTGACATATATTACGGTCGCTGAGTATCGCAAACGGTATCCACCAAGGCGAACGACGACGGGGATGAAGAACCAGGTGGTTTTGGGCCCCGTGGCTTCGGAGCCTATGCTGTTTGTGCTGACCATCGTCTTGTCGACCGATATGCAAAATTGCAAGCTTTTAGTTTGTGCTTGCTATCTAGCAAAGCAAAAAAGTGTATATTTGATGTAAACGGACTCACTACAGCGGTGATTGCCGTTCAGCAGCTATCTTTCACCCTGAATTCCTGCTAGTTTTCCACATGCGTGTGTATTATCTCTTGGTCCCACGTGAGGCTTGCGGCCAGTTTCAAGGGGTCCTGGTTCGGCGCGTCGTGAGGCTGCACTATTCGTTGTCCGCAGCTAGAGGAACCATACGCTACCACGTGGTGATCGTCGCTGGGTAGGGTAAGAACGCCACGTAGGTATTTGCTGTGGTGGTTCTGCAGTTGCGTGTTGTGGTTGGTCGGAGTAGCGGTATTTCAGATCACGTGGTAGGCAAATGGTGCTTGTTGCTGGAGTGCCTGCGTCAGAGTGACGTGTTCCTCTCTGACCTGCGCAACAACCACGCCACTTTTTCGCGATTTCTCATCGTTCTTACGTAGGCGAATGGTTGAATGTCGTCTTTTCGCACGCGTTACGAACGGTTCCTTGGAATCACCCGATTTCTCGTGTGTTTGCAGTATGATTGCGGGTTTACCGCAATTCCATGTCAGCCAGGTCAAAATCACCATCCACCAACTGCCTTTCAGCAGTCAGTCTTTGCTGGCAGAGGGGTGATCCCGCCCTCCCCCCTGACCTCGACATCCCCGAACCGAAATCATTTGGATGATGGGCCCGACCGACGCGGCATTTTTCTTGGTTGCGTGCGGGGGTCCGGGGGACCACACCGCCGCACCGCATCTCATGCTACAAAACAGTATATTTCAACCGAACCCAAACCCCAAGCACCTTTGGCATTCTCGGAAGCCCTCCACATGTTGTAACCATTGTCACCCAACGGATGTGCGGCGCCAAGCTTCGTGGAGCGTCGGGATTCGCATCGCATCACCAGAACTGTTACGCAGGAGCGAAGTACTGTATTGGAGGGGAAAACCGAACGACGAACGCCGTCAGTCAGCCACTTTCGTACGTTCGATGCCTTTTCGGAGCTTTCCTCCAGCGCAGCTTCTCGACCGCCACGTAGACCAGGCAGCAAACCGACGCGGCTTTTCCGCCGCCTTCCAATGGATGTCAGACGCGGATTTCCGCTCTCATCTCCATCATCATCGCGGCAAGATATTTTTCTCGAATCACGTCCGCTTCGTTACGTTGCACTTCGCCGTTCTCCCAGTCACTCCAAGAATCTCTCGCTGCATTTCACCCGAAACACCGTCCTGGTCTCCTCATTTTCGCTCGTTCACTTGAGAAGCGTTGCATCTAGCGTTGCCATTTGCACTTCCATCGAACGAAACGCAGTCGAGTCGAGACTCCTTTGCATCCCCTCTGTCTCCCCTCGCTCCTTTGGTTCTGTCTCCTCACCTCACCCTCAGCCAGATCCACCGCACCACGATTCACAAACCCTCACACCAGCTGGGGTATTAGAAGCCCTGGCACCTCGAATCTTTCCAACCTCATCTGTCATCACCTTCCACGCCGTCTTTCCGTCTGTGAGAAGCATAGCTGTTAGGGAAGTGGCCGCTTGACCAGTTTTGTGGCCCTTCCGTGACTGCACAGCTTCTTTCTCTTCTGCTCGTTCATTCTCGAGCAGATCTACTCCTGACCGCCGCCATGGCTCACAGCTGCTGTGTGGAGAGCCTCCTCATGGATCTTTCCGCAACCAGCGCCGCCACAGCCGCCGGCACTTTCGGCGCGACCAGGGCCCGCCGAGGTGGCAGCGCGAGCAGCACTGAGCGTGCGACCGCTGCATTTTCTTGCTCGTCCAACCTCCGTTCCAGTTTCCATCTCTCCTCCCTCGCATCGCCCAGATCCACGGTTCGCTGCCGGCGACCAGCAGCCGTGAAATCAGTTCCCCGCGCAGAGTGGTTTACGGACGACAGCAACAGCAAGGAAGCGACCTCTTCATCTTCCTCCTCCTCGTCCTCCAATAGCTCGTCGCAGCCGTCGCAGCAGTCGCCCTCCAGCCGGCCATTCATCATCCCGTCGCTTCCCGCATCAGACCTCACCGCCTTCAGCGCCGTTCGGGAGTCGCAGAGCAACGACTGCGCCGTGCCGCGATGCGCAGACGACCGTAACTCCGTGTCCCTTCCCCAGTCCACCGCCCGCCCGTCGCTCTTCGACGTGCCCGGCCCATCGCCCTCCGTCGGCACGAGAAACTCAGAGGCTGTTAGGGAGGAGCTCGAGCGGTTAATCCGTGCGACGAGTGCGCTCGAGAGTGCGCGTGCCCGCGAGCAGCAACAGGAGCAGGAGCAGAAGCAAAGCTGGAATCCGTTTTCAGGGCTGGTGAAGAAGGTGGAGGATGCCATCCCGGCCCATGTGCGAGGGCTCATCCTCTTGAACGTCCTCACCTTTCTATACGGTGCGTCAAGTCAAGTCTGCTTGGCAAACCTGATTTCTCTCTTCTTACTGTTCGTATTGATTCTCTGCAATCCTCGCTTCTTCCTTTCTGTCCCGTTAATGTTTTTCGCTAATTTCTTTGTTTCCATCCTGCGTTTCTTCGTCGTCCCTCCAGGCAGCAACATCACGGTGGTCAAGGAGGCCGCGTCCGTCCTCGACCCCTTCACCTTCTCCGCGACGCGCTTCGCCATCGCCGCGGCGGCTTTCGCGCCGTTCCTCGCGTCCGCGCTGCGCACGCCGCACGTGCGGCGCGCGGGGCTGGAGCTGGGCGTGTGGGCGAGCCTCGCGTACGTGACGCAGGCCGTGGGCCTGCTCACGACCGACGCGGGGCGCGCGTCGTTCATCGGCACGTTCACCGTCATCGAGGTGCCCATCCTTGCCGGCCTCTTCGGCGCCAAGATCCCGCCCATCACGTGGGTCGCCGGCCTCGCCGCCATCTGCGGCGTCGGCCTTCTCGAATCCTCCGCCGGCGACTCCTCCTTCGTAAGTCGCCGTTCTTGTCATCTCTTTTGAATCTTATTGTCAGACCTTGCTCCGAGCTCTTGAACAACCTTCTTTCCCGTTTCCCTCGCGGCGCGTTACCTTATTCCCTTGACCTTAATCCCCATCTAATCCCGTCCCCTCCCCCCTCCCCCCGTTCAGATGGGCGACCTGTGGACCATCGTCTCGGCGCTGGTCTTCGGCGTGCACATCCTGCGTTCCGAGCACCACGCCAAGCACGTCACAACCACCGAGGCGCTCCCGCTCATATCCCTCCAGCTCGCCGTGACGGCCGTGCTCTCCACCCTCTGGGTCTCCGTCGGCTCGTCCTCCGGCCTCCTCCCCGGCTGCGGCTGGGAATCCCTCATCGCGGGCGACTGGAGCGAGCTCGCGGCGTGGCCGTGGGTGGAGATGGTGTATACCGGCGTGCTGTCGACCGCGCTGTGCCTGTGGATTGAGGTCGTGGCGCTGAAGGATGTTTCGGCGCCCGAGGCTGCAATGGTGTACACGCTCGAGCCGCTGTGGGGCGCCGCGTTCGCGTGGGTGCTGCTGGGCGAGCGGTGGGGCCCGGCTGGATGGGTCGGCGCTGGGTTGATTCTCGGTGAGCCGCGCGCGGATTCTGATTGGTTTCCATCTTTTTTTTGCTTTGCGACACTATCCTTGCTGTTGCTTGCCTTGCCTATTTCTTGTGTGTTTTTATTTACTAATTTATCATTATTTTCTATCTCTGTTGTCCTCCTCTCTTGGTTTCAGGTGGAAGCGTATCCATGCAGATGTTTGGGCAGGTGGAGGAGGAGCATGAGCACCACGCCATCGGCGCCCCCGCCGTCACCTCTGCCACCGCGCTCACCGACAAGACGACCTACGTCTCGCCAACCTCCCCCGCGCTCTCCGCGCTGGGCGTGGCGGCGGCCGTGGCGCTCGTGATGACAGCCACCACCGCGGGGCTCCCCGCGGCGGACATGGGCAGCAGCGCGAGCAGCAGCAGCAGCGTGCTGACGTGGGTGCGTGGGCTGGGGCGGTGGGGCGGCAGTGAGATGGAGATGGTGATGGAGGGCGAGCGGGAGGTGGAGATGACCACGGCCGTCGCCATGGCCGCGCTTGGCGGCGAGGAGCTCGCGAGCCTGGCGTCGCTCATCAAGGTGTATGCTCTCGTGCGGCAGGATGAAGAGGCGATGGAGGAGGAGGAGGGTGAGATGGAGACGGTGGCTATCTGAAAGGCGGGATGGAAGATACCGGTACGAGCAGGAGGAGTAGAAGATGCGTGGTTCAAAGTCAACTGTGACCTGATGGCGGCCTGCTTTGTCTGAAGCTGAGGCCAGGCGCCTTGTTTTTGGTTTTGGCAGTGCGGAGCTTCATGCTGAGATGGGAGATTCATCCCCCTCCCCCACACTGTCTTGGGCCGTTCCCTTGTGGGCAGCCGTAGCAGGTGTGGGAGGACGGGGGCTCTTTTTGTCGTCCCTTGGCTTGCTCTGTCCTCCTCCTGTCGCGCTGGCAGTGGATGGACAGGCAGCCCCAATTTTGCCTCAGCTGCAATGCAGTGGCTTTCTGGTAGTGAGCATGCTCTCTAGCTGCTTATACCCTTACCTGCTGCTCCTACCCCCATAATCGCACTTGGGGGTTGGTGCTTTGTTGCCCCCCCAGTCAATTTTGAACCCCTGCTAAGCATGTCATCCTTGACCCCATTCTCTATGTCATTTGTGGTACTTATTTTCTCTGTATGATTTTCGTTCATTCCAACTCTCAGTGAAAACAGCGGAATGAGTAGCATTGATTGGGTTGGGGTACATATGCCTAACCCTAACTGCTTGTACCCCATATAGCATGACCCACAACAGGGTATAACATTTGACACACCCCCATAGCCTAAGTGGGGAATGCCAAGCAACAAGAAACGCAACCTAAGGTCACAAGACCAGTCACAAACAAAAGACAAAACAAAGCTCAGGGTGGATCACAACGTCACCACACAGTCTGAGCGCAAACAGCGGCCACAAGGCCAGTTCAAGAGTGTATATGCAGATATATATTGTACAAGCAAAGATGAGAGACAAGCACTCACTACTGCAGTCTACTCGACCCAGTCTCAACGAGGCCCAACTGCAGACAGAACCGGCGGTGGTCACAAGGCTGAAGAGCCTTGGTGAAGATGTCTGCAGTGTTGGCCTCGGAGGCCACGAAGTCCAGACGAGCCTGCCCGCGTCTCTGCAACTCTCGAAGGAGGAAGTACCTGACGTCGATGTGCTTCACTCTGCTCTCCAGTCGAGGCTCACGACACAGGAGAATCATCGCCCTGTTGTCAGCAAACAGGGTCGGTGCAGAGCTCGGCCGCTCACCAAGGTCAGTGAGCAAAAAGGTCAACCAGCGTAGCTCCTGAGCAGCAAGGGCCCCAGCGTAGATCTCGGCCTCTGCGGTAGAAGTCGCAACCGAGGAGGACCGAGTAGACCTCCACGAAACAGCTCCAGAACCCAGGCTGAAACAGTAACCCTGCGTAGACCTCTGAGTCTCAACGTCGTCGGCGTAGGAGGAGTCGCAGTGACCGGTGAGTACAACTGGCTGTGTCCCTCCAAGTACAAGCCCCATGCCTGATGTCGCGCCAAGGTACTTCGCCACCCTCTTAGCCGCCGCCCAGTGAACAGGACGGTGTCTCCCAGTCGCAACAAAGCGAGACAGGATGCTAAGAGGGAAGGCGAGGTCCGGGCGAGTACACGTCATCAGGTACATGAGGCAGCCCACCAGCTCTGCGTAGGGACCACTGGGCTCGAACGGCTCGTCAGGAAAAGGCCCAGTGAGTCTGTGGTCTACAGCAAGAGGAGTGGGTGTAGGAGAGGAGTCCTGAAGCCCGAACCGCTGAAGGACCTGCTGCACCATGTGTGACTGAGTCAGAGTGATGGTGCGAGCGGCTCTGTCCCTGGAGATCTGCAGGCCAAGGTAGCGGCGCAGTTCCCCAAGGTCAGTGCAGGTGTGTCTCTTCTGCAGTTCGGACTTCACCTCCGCCAGTGCAGCTGTGTCGGCTGTGGCAAAAACCAAGTCGTCAACGTAGACGAGAACGAAGAAAGGTGTGCGCCCACGACGAACAAACAGCGACGGGTCGGCGGAAGACGGCTCAAACCCGAGGTCGGAGAGAGTAGAGCGAAGAGTGTCGTGCCACTCACGGGGTGCCTGGCGGAGACCGTAGACCGGTCGTCTGAGGCTCCACTGGGTCCCAGGCGGGAAAGTGCCAGTGAAGCCCGGAGGACGACGCAGCCAGATCTCCTCGTGTAGGCGGCCCTGGAGGAAGGCAGTGGAGAAGTCAAGAGAGTGTAGCTCGTAGTCTCTCTGCGCTGCTACGTGTAGTAACACCCGAAGAGTGGTCATCTTCGGGGTGGGCGCGAAGGTCTGAAAGAAGTCAACTCCCTCACGCTGACTGAACCCTCTAGCCACGTAGCGTGCCTTGAAGACTGGGGGAGATCCCGGCGGCCGCTTCACCTTGAAGATCCACATGCCGTCAACGATGTTCGCCCCTGGGGGGGGAACCTCGTCAACGTAAGTGCCTGTGGACCTGTAGGAGGCCATCTCTGCGTCCATGGCAGCTCTCCACTGAGAGGCCCAAGGCCCTGACACTGCCTCAGCGTAAGTGCGAGGAGTAGGTATGTCAGGAGCGTCGGGGTCTCCCTCAGGAGTGAGCAGCATGGCACAGAGATGAGGCGAAGCAGCTGCCAGGAACTCTAGCTCAAACTGTCTGTCCTCTAGGACGTCACAGCCAAGGGCAGACTCACCCCCGGCGGACAGAGGACGGACAGGAGGAGCGGCCACAACACGAGTGGCGTAGTCAAGGCGACGCGTAGCAGTAAAGTCAGTGACAGCGGCAGTGAGGACCGCGACGGAGGAAGGGGAGGCACGAGGGTCTGTAACAAGAGAGGCGAGAACACGAGAGAGAGTGGGGCGGTACGTGCGGTAGTAGTCAGTGACCGGAGTGGACAGGGAGGCAGTGAGGGAAGACTCAGGAGGACGAGGAAGGACAGACGGAGGAGAACGAGGAGGACTAGGACGAAACAACACGGTACGGAGGTCAGTGACAGGGGACGAGGGACGAGCACGAGGAGGACGAGAGGCCCAAGTGTGGGCGAGAGGAGGGGGGGACGGAGGAGACAGAGAACGAGGGAAGACAGCCGGAGTGGAGTCCGGAGGAGGAAACGTAGGACCGAACACAGGAGGAGAGGAGGGGAGACCAAGGGCCCGAAGGCCAGAAACAGGGGGCGGAGGCTGCTGCGGCTGCTGCTGTTGCTGCTGCTGCTGCTCCCGCTGCAACTCCAACCTCTCACTCTCCACCCGCTGCTGAAGCTCCAACCTCTCACGCTCCAAACGCTGCTGCTCCTCACGCTCAAGACGAAGACGGGCCTGGTGGCGAGTCGGGTAAGGGTGAGGAGGAGGAGTAGCGTGAGGAGACGACGAAGAAGAACCTGCTCCGCCCTCGACAGCACCCGGCTGAGCACCCCCAGAGCGAGTACCCCCCGCGGCAGCACGACCTGCACCTGCAGGAGGTGTACCCGCACCCCCAGCCGTGGTGCCCCCAGTAGCACCAGCACCAGCCCCAGACTCTCCAGCTCCAGAAACACCACCAGCTCCAGCACCACCACCAGCTCCAGTACCCTCGGAACGGGCAGCTGCGGCAGGTGCACGCTCAGCGCCAGTGCCAGCACCCCCAGAACTGGCCGCTCCTGTAGGTGCACGAACAGCTCCAACGCCAGCACCCCCAGAGCGAGCACCGCCAGAGCCCTCACCTCGAGCACCGACACCCTCAGTGTCCGCAGTGGCCGGTGAAGGAAGCGCCGACGGCTGCTGCGGAGGCGGTGAGGACGACTGTGGGGAAGGAGGAGAGACCTGGGGGGGTACCGAGGGAGGGGGAGTAGCGTGAGACACACCAGACGGAGCGGGAACAGGGGGGGGTACCGGAGGAGCAGGGGCGGGAGGAGGAGGAGCTGGAGCCAGGAAGAGGGGAGGGGGGGGAACCGGGAGACCTCGAGAGGGGTACCTGACGTAGTAGGGGACGGACTCGTCGAAACGGACGTCACGAGAGTCAAAGAACCGGTGGGAGGGTGGGTGGTAAAAGGTGAAGTCAGAGGAGCCCTCTGGGAAACCAAGGAAGACACAGGGGACGGCGCGAGGCGAGATCTTGTCCGCAGAGGTGTCGCGGACAAGAGCCAAGCAGCCCCAGACACTAAACCTCGACGCAACACCAGGGGACCCTGTCCAAAGACTGGTCGGTGAAGCCCCTGGCCGAGAGACGCGAGGCCAGAGGTTCAGCTGGTGAGCGGCGTACCGAGCCGCGTAGGGCCACAGAAAATGGGGCGCGCGGGCGTGGATCATGGAGGTGCGGGCGATCTCCATGACCAGGCCTAAGCGGCGCTCAGCAACCCCATTCTGCTGTGGAGAGTCTGGAAGAGTCCAGGACTGGGTGATGCCCTGCTCAGCACAGAATCTGGCGAGAATGCCGGAGCGAAACTCACCCCCACGGTCGGAGTGGAGACAACTGACACGACGACCACGAGTGCCCTCGGTGGCGAGGAGCCACCGGATCAGCGTAGAAGTCACGTCGGACTTCTTCGCCAAAGGGAACACGGTGGTGTACCGAGAGTAATCGTCAACGACCACCAGAAAGAAACTCTCCCGCTCAGGGCCAAGGCGGGAGGCGGGGCCCCAGACGTCTAAGTGGAGTGTCTGGAAGGGCTCGGTGGCCGGACGAAGGGAGGAGGAGTGAGGGGTGGCGCGAAGGGACCCTGGACACAAGGACCGCACGGAGGAGCTGGGGACGGCGGGAGTGGCGGGAGGACTCGGGGGAGGCCTAAGACAAGACGCTGACTGGACATGGCGCGCAGACGAGGAAGGGACGGGTGCCCCATCCGGTGGTGCCACAGAACGGTGGGGTGGGCAAGCGACCGACACGAGCACGACGCAGCAACTACACCTGACACAGCAACCTGACTGGACCCGGCTACCTGGTGGGACGGGGGAACCTGACGGGGGTCGGTGCGGAGGGTGTACAGACCAGAGCCCGGCTCCTGGCGGAAAGTGGCCAAGGGGGCGTACGTGTCACCGTCGACGCAGACTGCGGTGTCACCAGAAGGCTCAACCCAGACACCGACGTGCTGTCTCGCCAAGGTGCCCACACCAACCAGGTTCCTAGAGAACGTAGGAACGTGGAGGCCGGTCAGGGAACCAGAAGGAGCAGCTGGGC